ATAGTACCATCATAAAACCACAAATATAATCATATTGAGTTTAATAGATTCAGTTAAGAGCGCGATAATAGAAATCAAGTTAAATCAACCCTCGTGGGAACGATACTCGAAATTTTACAATTTCCACTTTATTACTTGTTAACGAATCGTGCACTTGCGGTGATTTACAAAGCGAACATATTTTCGTGAACAATAATGTAGAGGTAATATGGAAATTTAGTAGAATGAAATGCACGGGCTCCTCACTATAAGTAAGGGAGGGTAGATCCATTTTACAACAGCACAATTGGATTTTGTCTTGGGAGAGACGTATGGCCTCTCAAAGCTCTGCAAATTATTATATTCATAGCAGGACATGAGGAGAGGCCCAAGAGGCTATCGCCTCATGTCCAACTCTTTAGGGGGTTCAAATTTGTTTTTTTTTTTGCTTCCTTCTTTATTTTAAGAACTCATTGTCATTTATATTCGTTCACCTTTGTTTGTAACAATGATGTTTTTCCAACAATGATATCGTAAATCATAGAATTAGTGTCTGGATTTGAAATACTCATTCCATTGTATAACACCCATTCGGTATATATTTATGCATTGTTGCACACATCTTTATTATATGATCTTTTATTGACCCTAGTTTTTTTTAATTGCATTGGCTGATAGATTTTATACATTTAATTTATTATTGTATAGTTTTGTCTCTAAATTCAATTATATTTTTTCAATATCCCGTTGATCGGATCATTGATTTGTGTTTGATTGATTTTTTTTCTCAATCTATAATTCGTTATTAATTAATGTGAATTTGTGCCTTCTATGGGGTAATTGTGTGCAATATATGGTTAAATATGATGTGATTTAATTTTTTCCATTTTGCTGTTACATTATGAAAATATTTATGACCTTAGATAATATATCGTTATTGTTATTGTAATAATAATTTTTTTCTCTAAAGACTGTGAGCCTTGTGCAAAGTGAGAAAATGTGTAAAATTTAACCATTTTTGCATATAAGAAGTTTATTTTCTATTTTATGTGAAATTAAATTCATTATGAGTGTGAAGTGTATTTACCATACACATAATAAAATGAAATCTTCTCTCACTATAGCTAAGTTAGAAACATTGATAATCTTTGATTATTTTTTTCCTTTTTTGTTAATGGATTGTTTGGACACCTTTT